CGCCTATGGCTGAAGTGATGCGCCGGAGACACGGGCTCATTAACACTGGCGGCGCGACAGCCGCAAACACTACTAACGAAACACCACCGTCAGACACAGCCTCACACACGCACGCCCGCCGCCCCGGCCGGCCGCTAGCTCTGCACCACCTTCCAGCTGCCGTCGAGGCCGTCGCACGGCTTGCCGATGATGCAGGTGCCGGTGACGGCCGGCCGCCGCAGGTAGAGCTCGCCCACGCGGCGCAAATCGTCGCGCGTGACGGCCTTGACGCGGCGCCGGTGCTCGTCGAACTGCTCGTCCGAGATGCGGCTGAGGAAGGTGCGCATGCCGCGGTCGGCCGGCACCACGGGCGCGTCCACCGCCTGGAACACACCCAGCTTGGCGCCGTCCACATCCTCGGCGCTGAACGGGTGGTCGCGCGCCACGTCCGCCGCCGCGGCGAACGTGTCGAGCGTGCGCAGAGAGTTGGGGTCGCGGTAGCTGTAGAACGACCACAGGCCGCCGGGCGAGGCGATCGCGCCGCCGCCGTACGCGCCGCCCTTCTCGCGGATCTCGCGGTGCAGGTGGCCGAGCGAGAGGAGGCGCGCCAGCACGCGCAGCGCCGCGTAGTCGGGGTGCGCGTACGGCACGGTGGGCAGCGAGCGCGCCGCGTAGTGCACCGGCAGCGGCAGCTGCACGTACGTCTGGCCGCCGGACGGCGCAAAGTCCGGCCGCACGCCAATCTCCTCGCGGCCGGCGCCGACCACGCCCGAGAGCAGCTCGTCGAGGCCGGCGAGCGCCGGAGGCAGGCCGGCGGCGGTGGCATTGAGTGCGCAGCGCATGCCCTCCTTCATCAGCAGCATGTCGGCCAGCATCTTCATCTTGGTGACGAGCATGTCGAGTTCGCCGTCCTCCACCAGCTTCTTGGTAAAGCGCACCTGGTCGAGGCCCGAGTACAGCTGGCGGAGACGCGCCGCCGCGCTCAGGTCGGCCGATGCCACGCCCATGGCGTACTGGTGGCCGGCGGCCGGCACGCTGTTGGCGAGTTCGGCGGCGCTCATCTGCAGCAGGCTGCGCAGCCGCTCGGCGTTGTCGAACGCGACGCCGGCGAAGATGTCCTGCCAGAGCGCGAACATGCGGCCGGCGTTCTGCTGCAGGCAGTAGGAGCGCAGCACCAGGCCCTCCTCGTAGCGGCCGGGCTCGACCGGGTCGTCACTGACGGCGACGGCGGCGGACAGGCCGCCCGTCCACAGCTGCTCCTGCTGGTCCTGCTGCCGGTAGTCAAGCCGCTGCGTGCCCATGCGCGTCAGCAGCTGACTGAAGAGCGGCAGCAGCGGTCGGAAGTACGGCGGCACGGTGGACGTGTCGATCACGCAGCGGAAGTAGGTGACGCCGTTGGTCGGCTGCTCAGACAGCTGGACGGGCACGCCGGACACGCTCTCGCGCCGCAGCGCCGGCCACTCGGTCGCGTCCGCGATCTGACGCACGTCCAGAATCGGCAGACTGGTCGCGTCGTCACCGTCCGCTTGCTTCTGCAACAGACGCCGGCCGTCCTCGAGCACCTGGCGGCGGTCGTCGTCGGTGAGCGCGGCCACCTTCCGCTCCAGCAGTTCGGCCTCCTGCCGCTGCAGGGCCGCCTCGTGGCCCGCCTCCGGCGTCATGACGGCCACCACGCGGTGCGGGTTGTCTCGCAGCAGCCGCGCCAGCCGCTGCTGCAGCAGGCGCGGCTCGGCGGCCAGCTCGGCGCGCAGCCGCGCCAGCAGGTCGTCCAGGCGCAGCGTGTCGGCCGGGTCGGCGCCGTGGTACCAGGGCGCCACGGCCTGCATCACCAGGCCCAGGCCGAAGTTCTGGCTCTGGTGCTTGCGGCTGAGCTCGATCCGGTGCAGGATGGCGTCGATGCGCTCCTGCTCGAAGCCGGTCTCGGCGGTTTCGTGCAGTGTGCGCTCGATAGCCTCCACCACCTTGTCGGCGTCGGCGTCGGCCACGCCCTGCAGGCCCACGGTGAAGGCCGTCTCGCGGCACGAGTTGTCGAAGCCGGTGACGTACGGCGTGAAGTCGGCGCCGAGACCCGACTCGATCAGCGAGCGGTAGAAGGGCGCCGACGGGCCGCCCACCAGCAGCTCGGACAGAATCAGCATCAGCAGCGACTCGTAGCGGTCCGTCACGTCGCCCACCAGGAAGCCGACGGCCACGCTCGCCTGGCGCTCGGGGCTCGGCGCCATCGGGTCGTGGCGGCACGCCACGTGCACGCGGCGCGGCTCGCTCCAGCGCCGCTCCAGCGGCACGCGCGTGTCGCACGCGGCCGCCGCTGGCGCGCGCTGCAGGTACTGCTCGTCGATAAAGCGCAGACGCGGCGCCAGCGGCAGGTCGCCGTACGAGAAGAGGCGGCAGTTGCGCGGGTGGTAGTGCGTGGCGTGGAACTGGCGCAGCTGCTCCCAGGTCAGGTCGGGGATGCGCAGCGGGTCGCCGCCCGAGCAGTGCTGGTACGTGTGCGACGGCAGCAGCGCGTTCTGCAGCCGCTCGGCGAACACGCGGTGCTGGTCAGACAGCGCGCCCTTCATTTCGTTGTACACGACGCCCTTGAAGACGATGGGCGTGGCCGGGTCTTCGGGGTTTTCGTGCTCGAGCCGCCAGCCCTCCTGCAGGAAGTCCAGCCGCTCCAGACGAGGGCTGAACACGGCGTCCAGGTAGATAGCCAGCAGGTTCATGTAATCGGCCTCGTTGCACGTGCTGAACGGGTACATGGTCCAGTCGCTGGCCGTGAACGCGTTCATGAACGTGGCCAGGGAGCGGTTGAGCATCTTGAAGAAGGGGTCGCGCGCCGGGAAAACGGTGGCTGCCGCAGAGCGTCGTGTGCTCCAGGATGTGCGCCACGCCGCTCGAGTCCGTCGGCGTCGTCTGGAAGCCCACGCTAAACACGTTGTTGGCGTCGTCGCGCGCCACGTGCAGGTACTGCGCGCCGCTCGCCTCGTGGCGCAGGCACGCGGCCGTGGCGCTCAGCTCTGGCACCTCCTGCACGCGCTCCACGCGGAAGCCGTGCACCAGCGAGTCGACGGCCGGCAGCTGGGCAGAGAAGGGCCGGCTCCACGGCCGCAGCCGGCCGCCGGCCAGCGGCCGGCACAGGCGCGACAGCATGGCTCGGCCGATGGCAGGGCTCGTGCAGACTCTGGCCGAGGGGAGCAGCTGGAGCTTATTTATCAGCACGCTCACTCTGGAATGGTGGCAACAGATGTCAGAAACAAGCAGTTAGGTCATGTCACCAATATAAGCAGTGATTGATTCTACCAGAATATGATCCATTTAGTGCTGGCAAAAATGCTGATCATGAGGTTTGCAAAGATAATTGTTAACATTGCTAACCTTGTGAGCAGTTTATCCAACAAACACACATCATCCAGAATTTACTCTGACAACCTGAGTCAGCAGCCATAGATACAACAATAAGAGGTTCCCTCCCAGCTGCCATATCTCAAATCCTCCCAATTACCTCCTAACCCCCTCCTTATTGCCCCCATAACTGCATCATAACCCGACTAATGCCCTCTTTACTGCCTCCCAACTGCCACTTTAGCAGAATTTGATGTGCTCCTATGACTTTGCAAACATGAAACTTAGTAACATTAATATGATGCAAACTATTTGCCTATACTGGAACCACATCAGTGACAAATATCAAATAATCAATGTTCAGAGGCTAGCAGAGTTTGTACAGTGAAATAAACTGATACCTAATACATGGCAAATTAACACTACATCAGGCATTACCACTGCCATAAAATTTGTCACTGCCAGGAAGTTGCCAGGCATTGCCGATGTCACTATATCAGACATAATCACTGCTACTAAACACCACTGTAATGCAACTAGAGATATTACCCATATCTGAAATCTATTCAATATTTTTAGATGTTTTTGTGTTGGTAATTATGGCAAAACAACGGATGTGCTAGCACACTTAGACCAGTACCTGCATCTTAAATGCAGGCTAATCAAAAACCTTACAATAAGCCCGCAAGAAATACAATTGAATTTTGCGCATACATAGCATGTGGTGACAGGCTGCCTCCAAATAAAGACTATAAAGTCACTATAAAGATGTTATATAACTGCCAGATAAGGCACACATGGACAGCAAAGAGCTGCTCACATCATAGTTGAGGCACACACAGCCAGGGTTCAGGTAAGTGGCTTGGTGCAGCCAGTGCTGCTAGAAGTTTTATGGTGAGGGGGGGGCGAACAAACTGGCTCTCATGCTCTGCAATTGATGCTGGCAGTGTGCAGAGGTCCAAGCTCTTTTATTTACACCGTACATACATGCTCTGAAACTGATTTCACTGCTAGGCCTAGCATGTTCAATGTAACATCATTTTTGTCAAAACCCAAAACCTTGTATTGCATTCTCCAGTCAACACCCATCGCACCTAAAACAACAGAAATTTGGAAACTTAGCTCCTTCCCCACCCCTGCAGTTCCTATGCCCCTGCACGTACAGTATCTTCTTGGTCCAAGCTGTCTAGACCATCTCGCCTGCAGGCTGCAGATCTTAAAGGTACCGTCGTTACTTATCGCAGGCTACTTACCAATTTAGCGCTAATCCATCTACCGAACACGGGAAATCTATTCCTGTCAGTGCTAACGTTGATGCCTACCTGAGTCTGCAATTTTCCAATTGGTGGCCACAAACACAGTACGCGGCCCCTGCTGATCTTTGTCGAACGTTGACTCACGCGCAGGCACACAACCAACATGCTTCAACACACATCACCCTTCGCGCAGTCGACGTTTCACATGAATGTATGTAGCGCGCTGCAATTGTCCTGAAGCCCGAGTGGCGAATTTAGAGGTCAAACTTGGCTTATCATTTATCTTTGAAGATAACCTTGAATTCTATTGAACACGCTCATTTTCGATTAAAATATCATTGACATAATTTTTTTTCCAGCAAAACATTCCGGTGTCTTACGTTCATATTAGCAATTTCCTTTGCGTGCTTTCCCGAGGTCATCCGACCACTACGGAGATGTCCAGAGTTGTTGTCGGGCAAGTGGGTGGTACTGCGCGTTTCAGTGTTTTATTGTCGCTTGGGTTGAGGTGTGTTGGGTGCTGTTTTGGAACATTTTCGCCTGGAGGTGGGGGTGTGCGGAATATTTAATAGAGGTGAGCTGTGTTACATCAGAATAGGATACAATTTACTATCTGGTGTAACCTGTAAATAACCTCATTTCTGCGAACTTTTGGGACGCGTGTCTTGCATGCTTGTTGATATTTTTCCCAGACATTCGCATTTGTGTGATGTCTTTCCTATGCGGTGTCTTGTAACGCAATGATATGTCATTAAATACCTTTGTAGTGCTGAAACTCGTGTTTTTTCCGATTCTGCCCATCCTCCAATAATGGCTTAAATGAAGTGTACCATATTTGTATGTGGTTTTGAATATTAAAAAAAGCCCCTTGGTGCAGTTCACAATCAGGCCATCACAAAGGCATGGTAAAGGTACATTAAAACAGTTCACAAGACCTAGACTCCCCTGGTTTCTCAGCTGAAGGCCCAACAAAATGCACCAACTATTTTTTGCAAATTATTTCAAGTTGACCCAGACATCCATGATGCTGTAGTAATGCCATTAAACTCTACCCATTGTAATGGCTATGTAGAGATAAAGCTCAAGACAAAAGAATCTTTAGTTATTCATATTTGGTATTTTGTGAGTACAATCTCCACACATTACAGCTGTTGATTGGCTTGTGATCAATGTAGTACAAGGTGTGATAACATAATCAATGATGCAGGGGGAGGCATATTTACAAAATAAAGGAATAATGTTGTCTTGATCAGTCTTTCCACTTAGAAGCAGGCCAATAGCTTCTAGTGAACTTGTCTACCATATCTGATGCTTCTTTAATATCTTCAAATGTGGAACATTTCCTTAAAGGGTATTGTTTTAAGCAGTGTAGGTAATAATTAGGGCTTCATGGTATCGTAATAAGGCTTTGACATTATAGCCTTTTCAATGATACACAGCCACAAGGTAAACTGCAACAAATTGCCTGAAGATAACTGTGTTTTGTCTAGGTCACTAACCATGAGAACAATGCTAACAGCATGCTTTGGGCAGATATAGGCCGGCCCTCAATGGGGAAGAAATACATTGCATAAAGAAAATAATATTTCTCAAATTGAGAGACTTTGTAATCTGCTCCAAAATCATGGTCTGCCATGAGATTTTATGATCTTCTGTGATCTTTCTTTGTTTTGTATGTCACATATATTATGAATCACTCAATAGTTCAATTTATCAATTCCTGACCCATCATTCTGATAGCTGCCCAAAATTGGAAGTTTTGCATATCTCTGCCCAATTAAGATTTAGTTAACATCTGGCATAGTTTGTGAAGCAGGGTTTTGTAGGGTCACTCTTTTCATGTTCCTAATAATCCTTTCCACCATAAACCCTATGTTAGAATCAAGCAGGCAGATGCATCTTCAAAAATACTGCAAGACTGAAATCGCACATAAAGTACCTCAAAGTACCAACTAGCCTAGTGCCTGCTGACATGGAAATATCAGCTCTCATGGTCTTGCCTCACAAGTGCTCTATGAGCACTTGTGCAGTGCTGATTCATTGCACACAGCAGATGAAATGTGGGCCAATGCCTAGCAGTATTCAATAGCATGTATGATGACCATCCACAAAAATAGTCTTCTAGCAGTGTTGGTATACTAAACCTTGAAGTCTTTTAAAGGGACTTGAGGCCCTTCTCTCACCATTAGTTTTTCATAACCCTAGCCATGCTAAATTTTTCATGACCTAGTCTAGAGCATGGTGCTGAAGTTTCAGGTCTTGCTGGCAAAATACATTGTTATTTTATCATTCTGGCAACAAACCCAATTTGTGATTCCTAGAGCTGATTGCTCAGAGTGTGGTGCACAGGAACTGAATGTGCAACAAATGGTGGTGCTGTAAAGGTCATCACAGGCAAAACTAGAAGAAGAAAATAGTAAAAAGTCCATTGAGAGCCCAGCATGGTTTAACCTGGTCTAAGGTCTACACACACTGGTGTTGGTCTCCTGCATCATTGCTGTGTATGTAAGCAGCATAGTTGAGTTATTTTTCAGCTATGTTTATCTACAAAAGAGTGTTTTATATGAGGAATTTATCATGATTTCTTCCTTGCATTTCTAGATTGCCTAGTTATCAAGATGTTGGGGGCCTCCTCATGGGGTGAAGGTGGAAATATCTTGCACCAGGGTGGTGGTTAATGCCTCTATTTTGTTATATTTGGCTGTTTTTATTAGGCATTAAGAGGTCAGAACTAGTAAAAACAAAATCTCACATATCATTCCTTCTCTTAACTGACAGGTTCAAATTACCTGCCTTGGTTGGCAACATTGGCTGCAGGAGAGGGAACAGTCTTAAGACTTGGTATGGTTGCTTCCTTTTGCAAGGGTTAGCTAAGAATAGATTAGATATGACTGTATTGAAGAATTGGTAAAAACCATTACTAAAGCAATCAATTGTCTGTCATGTTTGTCATGTTTCGAAGACACCTTGGCTAGGCTGTGCCACAGTTGTAGTCACATATGTGCTCTGGGTTACCAGTTGTGGACTGTTCTTCTTATTGCAGCCATGTTTGCAGTGTCATTTCTGAGTCTCATCCTAGGTGCCATTGGATATGTTTGCCAGATTTGAGCCTTGAAGACTAGATTCTATCACTGAAAGCTATTGCTGCTTCTAGGGTCCATCTTGGGATGCAGGTATCCATGATCTTTAGTGATCATCATCAACTGTCAGCATCAACAATGCCACCACCAATTGTCTCTTGAAAACAAAATCAAAGTTTCACCCACTCTGACTCAGATCTGAGGTTTTCAGTCTGGTCTGCTGGAGTCCATCTGCAGTCTGTGACCTACTCCTGTCAGGTCATGGTCTGCGTACAAACCAGAAAGGTGCAATGCTTGGGCCGCACAATCATTTGGGAACAATGCTGGGACTGCAACTTATCAGTGACAAGACATCCTGCATGCATGGGTCGTCATATGCACCAGAGTAGGGTGGCATGAGCAAGAGTGTATTGGAGGAAGGGGTGGCAGGGTCATGATGTTTTGGCAAAAGTTACATTCAGTTCCATTAATTATTGGTTGACAATGTCCACAGCTTATTGTCCATTATATACTGCCATTCCCGAGCTTTTTTCTGGAGGGCAGGGCTGGTCAGGATGATAGAGTTCATGCAATCTTTGATGATGGGACTTTCAGGCCTCTAAACCAGGTGAACATGAGTACACCCTTCCTTGCAATGTTTTGCCTTAGACCGCAATTCCTTTATCTGATTAGCTTGGTCGAGCATTTTGCTCCAGCACACATGTATATTTCATCGGCTCGCGAAGCGTGGGCTCGGGGGAGCTCACCATCGGTGGGTACAGGCCATTTCAAGCTTTGCTAACATGCATTGATTTTAGTAGCTGACGGTTGATGGTTGGGGTGGACAGCCGGCGACCGCAGCACGGCACCGCGGCGCGATTGTCGTGGTTGGGGTGGACAGCCGGCGGCCGCAGCACGGCGCCGCGGCGCGGCTGTTGTGGTTGGGGTGGACAGCCAGCGGCCGCAGCACGGCGCCGCGGCGCGGCTGTTGTGGTTGGGGTGGACAGCCAGCGGCCGCAGCACGGCTGCTGGGGCGAAAGCAGCTCATCTTTTAGCTCTTGTATGTATGTGCATCTGCACTGATGTTTGAAGCGCTCCAGCATAAAATGGCCAGTCCTAGTGTCGACTCGATAAAGTAAAGAGGTGACACATGTTAAAAAGAGCACTGTAACAGCAATCGCGCAGGGATTCAGCAAAGGCGCACACACACAAAACACACATGAGATGCACAAGCATACACACATACATATTCATCAAGCCGCAGCAGAATCATTGCGCAGTTCACGCTTAAAAGACACGAGTGACAAAGTGCGGAGTTTCCGGGTTTCAGTTAGATGTTAGTATGTTATTGGCCAGGTAATGGCCGCTCGCTGGCCTCGTGGCTGGGAGTGAGGAGCGACCGACCGGGCCGGACCGACCGGTCAGACAGGCCGGGTCCGTCCGTGACTCCCGGCCAGTGTCGCGGGCTATGCGAGGCAACTCCCTGACGGCACGTGCAGGGTCACGCATCTCGCCCAACGGTCGCCTCAGGGTTCCGTCATGCTTGTAAAACATTGGGCGGCGTGGTTACAGGCGTTCGTGCTGTGGAAAGGTCTCGTTAGTGATCCAGGACCCTATTCCGACACTGCGCTGTTGCAAGGTCCACACCGGCCTACAGCGAGGGAACCGTGCCACACGCTGAGTAGTGAGATTGGTGCGATCGCAGGCATGCCGTGTGCCAGATTCAGCTCTGGAGCCGTGTCCGCCGTTCTCAGGTGCGAGCAGTGAGCCATGGCGGAGGCGCCAGACATCAGCGGTAACGTGACGCCCGGCGGTGGGGCCCAGGTCAAGATCGGAAACTACATCCTGGGCGATACCATTGGCAAGGGTACCTTTGGCAAGGTCAAATGTAAGCCTGCCGTCCTCGTGCGCACCAGTGTGCGTACCAGCAACCAGTATTTGTTGATATCGTTGCGTGTATCTTAACGTTTTGGTTTTTGCGTTGTTGATTGACATCAAATGTGTTTATTGTCATGTTTGCACATGCGTCTAAATGCTGTTTTTGTATGTTTTCACGTCGCTCTCCTTCAGCGGCTGCTTTTGACAGGCTTTGGTTGTTATGCCCATGGAGTGGCTGTTCTGGGAACTAAGATTCTCCATTTTGCGTTCTCTCGACATCAAAATGTTTTGCGAGCATTCTAGCTCTGTATCGTGCATCTGGTGGTTTTCAGTTGCTGTTCATCAGAAGACGCAGAATCGGGTGGCTGTGAAGATTCTTAACCGGGAGAAAATCAAGAATCTGGATGTTGCTGGAAAAATTAAGCGTGAAATCCAAAATCTTAAGCTCTTCCGACACCCCCATATCATCAAACTGTGAGTTCACTGTGTAGAAGACACTTGATGAACCAAAACCTCATGCCCGAGCTGTTCCTTAAATGGTCCATTGCATTTCATCTGCATTCTACATGCGTCTTTTTTGGTGGACGCTGCCCGGCTCGCGTTATCGTTGTATTCCGAGCCATGTTCGTGGCGTATCGTATTACATTGTTATTATGTCAGCTATCCTCTTGCACTGCGACCGTGTGCGCTTGAGTGTCGTGCAGCATCAGTGTCGTGCAGGATCTATTGCTTTCATGTAATTCGTCGGTTGGTCTGACTTTGGCAAAACCAGTCACGCCACACGTGACTACGTCCAACCGTCATTACAGGTCATGTAAGGTCAACTTACTGGTGTTAAACCAACGTAGTATGTCCACGTTTGAGAAATAAGTCATAACTGACGAATTTCCGCATCAACTACTATCTGCATAACGTGACTTTGAGGGGCGGAAGATTTAAGTCTGAGGTGATCTGTGCTTTACCGGACCTGACCCTCACTCTTGTCATGACCTGACCGTCGGCCTTGACCTTTTCTGACCTTTACCGTCAATCTTTGTTGGTATGGTTTGAGCCTGAAGCGCTCAAACACGCCGTTTGGTTTGGTTAATAATTGACTGTAGAAAGCCAGGTAGTTAATCAAAAATAGGTTTAACTGGGGGTCATTTTTCGTGACCTTGACGACATCAATAGTGTGGTGGACCTCAACGTTCCGACGTCTCTGTGAGATTGACCCGTGCTGTCAGTTGCCGTTTCAATTTTTCCGATGTTGTGATAAATCCTCCGATACCGAGGGGTGGTTTTACCTGCCAGGCGGTCACACGCGGCCAAACGCCCCGGGCGGTGTGGGGTGACCGTGGCTGCTCGTCCGCCGCAGGTACCAAGTCATCAGCACCCCCACCGACATCTTCATGGTGATGGAGTTTGTGTCGGGCGGAGAACTGTTCGAGTACATCATCAAACACGGCAAGGTAACGCGTGCTCGGCGGTCGTCAAGAGAGCTGTGTTGTGTCGCTGCGGAGAGCTGGAAACACGTGCCACTGTGCTGTACCAGCAGCACAATGCCGTTGACAAGCTGGCTGCATCGGAGCTGCCGGGCGGCGCAAAAGCCGCCATCGGTTTTGAATACCAAAACAGAACTCGGCCGTTGTGCAGCACGGCCTCTGACCTGCGCTGCGTCCGGTGCGGCCCGTCTCGCTCACAACATACCCCAGTTCCGTGTCTGCGGTACGTGACGCCTCGTCTCGTTCCGTGTCTGTGGAACATGACGTCTCGCCTACTCCGCAGCTGAAGGAGCAGGAGGCCCGACGCTTCTTCCAGCAGATCATCTCGGGCGTGGACTACTGCCATCGTCACATGGTCGTCCACCGCGACCTCAAGCCGGAGAACCTGCTGCTCGACTCCAACCGCAACGTCAAGATCGCCGACTTCGGTCAGTGGGCCGTGGAGCGCTGTCCTCCAGCAGCTGCGTGGCGGCGCTGGCCGGATGTTTGTCGGCGCTGAAATCGTCAGTGTGTTCTCAGGCGTCACGTTACGCATCGTTTGCAGTTCTCATTCGATTCTAGTTTATTTGTGCTGTTTTCCGCGAACTCCTGCCATTTCTGAGAAATATTTTGCTCGTCTGCCAGGTGCCACGGCTCTTTCGCCCCCCCCCCCCCTTCCCCCTCCTCCCCGCTCACCGCCTACGCGTGCTCCCGCAGGCCTCTCAAACATGATGAAGGATGGCGACTTCCTGTCCACGTCTTGCGGATCTCCCAACTACGCGGCGCCCGAGGTGATCTCGGGCAGCATGTACGCTGGGCCAGAGGTGGACGTCTGGTCGTGTGGCGTCATCTTGTACGCACTGCTATGCGGCACGCTGCCCTTCGACGACGACCACGTACCCACCCTCTTCACCAAGATCAAAAGTGAGGCTGGCGACGCGGCGCGGCGCGTGCTGAGGTGCGGAGCGGCGCGGCGCGCACCAGGAGTGAGGCAGCTCCTCCGTTGGTGTCGGTGCTGGCTGGCATTCGTGTAGGGGACGTGAAGAGTTTATCGCAAATTGGATCTTCGTACAACCATAAGCTATCCGCACGCGCCTGTGCGCGATAGGACTCACAGGCATCCTTCACTCGTGCCACCGCCGTTGGCTGGGTGCAGTCCGTTTTGTGTGACCTTTACGAGCTGCACCCGCCGTTGGCTGGGTGTAGCTCATCAGCTCCAGTAAGGCCGACGCGGCGGTCGCCAGCCCCAGATTGCCGCCGGCCGGGCCGGGCCGGGCCGAGCCGAGCCGAGCCGAGCCGAGCCGGGCCGGGCCGAGCCGAGCCGGACGGGCCGGGGCCAGGCGCGGTAGTGCCGGTGGGCGTGGCGGCCGATGACGCGACGCTCGGTCGTCTCTGTGCTCCAGAGGGCGTGTTCCCAATCCCGGACTACCTGAACAAGTCTGTGGTCTCGCTGCTCTGCCACATGCTGCAGGTGCAGCCCATGTGCCGAGCCACCATCGAGGACGTGAGGTGAGCGTGCGCGGTGGCCCGGCTCCGGGCGGTCAGAGCGTACCGCGAGAGTGAGGCGCGCTGGTCGGGCGCAGTACCGCTGACCTCGGATGTGCGTCTCGACTCAGAAGTGAGCAGGGTATGAGCCTGCTCGTGCGTACCACGCCAAAGTGAGCAGGGTGTGAGCCTGCCCGTGTGTACCACGCCAAAGTGAGCAGGGTATGAGCCTGCTCGTGCGTGCCACGCCAAAGTGAGCAGGGTATGAGCCTGCTCGTGTGTACCACGCCAAAGTGAGCAGGGTATGAGCCTGCCCGTGCGTACCACGCCAAAGTGAGCAGGGTATGAGCCTGCTCGTGCGTACCACGCCAAGGCGTCACCTCACGGAACCATGAGCTCGTGACTCCGATCTGACGCTGTGTGGCCGTGCCCGGCAGGAACCACGAGTGGTTCCAGCAGGACCTCGCCGCCTATTTGTTCCCGGAGCCCTCGGAGCAGGACTCGTCCATCATTGATCAGGATGTGGTGGCCGACATATGCACGGTAAGTCTGGCCAACGGCGCCCGCAGCTTCTGGGCTCTTGGACGCTGAGCTGCCGCCGGCCCCAGCCTCCCACTTCTGCAGATTCCATGCTTCCCAGACCCTGGACTCCCATGGATCCCGGGCCTTCTCTGACCCCATTTTTTACGGATCGCAGGCTTCTCCGGTTCATATCTGCCCCGATCCCAGATTACCCAGAACTGCTCCCGCAAACCACAGACTCCCATGCTGCCACAGACTTCAGGCTCCCCTGAACAGCCCCACCCTTGAACCACAGGTTCCGGCCTGCAAATCGCAGATCCCCTGAACGGCTAGCCCTCCGAGCTCAAGACTGTCGGGTAGTGGGGATGTGGTCTTTCGGATTGTGTTCACATTTTCAAGTTAATTGCGGCGTGCCCCACATTAGCGCCGCACCTGAGCTCCGGTTGGCGGTGGTGGTCGTGCGCCGCCATGGCCCCGTGTTCAGTGGCCCGCCCCCGCCCCCGCCCCCTCCCCGCTGGGAACGCCGCTCACCAGCTGCGCGTGTCGCTCGCGGCAGAAATTCAACGTGTCGCCCGACGAGGTGCACGCGGCGCTGCTGTCGGAGGACCCGCAGGACCAGCTGGCAATCGCCTACCACCTGCTCATCGACAACAAACGACTGGCGGGCGAGCCGGAGAAGTTCGAGATGCGCGACTTTTACGGCCCGAACTCCCCGCCGCTCACGGCGCCCGTGAAGGTCGGCCCGCTCGGTACGTGGGGGTGGTGCCGGCGGAGGCGGACTCGGCTCAGGCGGTCACGCTGGGGCCCGGCGCGCTTCTCACGGGAGCCGCCGCGGCGAGGACGGAGGTGATGGCGCGCTTGTTCGCGGCGGTGGTTGTCTCGTGCTGAGTTCTGGCTTTCGTGTGTTTGGCTTGTGTGCTGTGGGGCATGGGGTCCGCTGTCGTCTCACCATCGGGTCCACGAGATTGGCGCATCGCGTCCGTGTTGACGCCAGCTGTCGGCATTGCCCGGAGACGGGCGCGGGCGGCCGAGTGCTCGGTCAGGCCCGGAGCGACGCCGTGCGGCGGGCCGGTGCGCCGCCGGTGCGCTGACCCACCGCCCGGCCGTCCCGGCGGGCCGGTGCGCCGCCGGTGCGCTGACCCACCGCCCGGCCGTCCCGGCGGGCCGGTGCGCCGCCGGTGCGCTGACCCGCCGCCCGGCCGCCCCGTCGGCAGGTAACCCGCTGCCGTCCGCCGAGCCGGCCGGACGGCCCCACCCGGAGCGAATACCGCGTGAGTATTCGCCGAGCCGGCGCGCGCCGCCGCCCGTCGCCCGCCGGCGCCGAGAGGCCGGCCGGCCGGCGCGCGCCGCCGCCCGTCGCCCGCCCGCCGAGAGGTCGGCCGGCTGGCCGCGCCGCACGGCGCCCTGGGCTGGGGTCGGGCTGGGCCGATACTGCCGCCGCTGGCACCGGAAATGAAAGGCATTTCCGCTGTTCGTCGGCGTGCGGTGCCTAGAGCGGGGCTGTTTGTCCGACGGCAGTGTTTCAATAGGGGGATGGCACAGCTAATAGATGTCTGGCCAATTTATGCTGTGCTCTGTGATGTCATCAAGGCTTGATTAGTACGTGCTGTCACATCTCATTCGAACCCTGTACGATACGCCTGACACGAGTGTACGCCGATTGCCGCGGATCGGATTCGCCCTGACCTGACCTGACCCGAGCTGACCTGGCGTCTGTGGGCCGGGCAGCGTTGCGGGCCGAGCCGCCGGCGGCAGGGCCGGGGGAGGGCGGTCGGCCGGTCAGCGCGCCGCTCAAGCGGGCCAAATGGCACCTCGGCATCCGGTCCCAGAGCAGGCCGCTCGACATCATGCACGAGGTGTACCGCGCCATGCAGTCGCTCGACTACGTAAGTCATCGAGTCGGGTCGGCGCGGCCGGCGCGCCTCGGCAGCGCGGAAGGGGGGGGGGGGAGGGCGGGAGTACGCCTGTGTGTGTGTGTGTGTGTAGTGAACGTCGGCTGTTGGAGTTTGAGCTTGCAGGCAGCACGCGACTCCAGGCCGAAGGAGGTGCGTCCGGCGGCCGTCTATCGCTGCGGTTATCCGTGATATCGAGACGAACGCAGCGGCCCCCCTTGTTCTGAGGAGCGTGTCCACAGAAATGCCGATGTCAGCGCTCTTCTTGTGTTGCTATTGGTCAGCGGGGAGCCTGAGAGCTGAATGCGTTCGATTGAATGTGGCGATTGGCTTTCGCCGAGTGGCACGCTCCAGCGCCGGGCTGTTGAGGAGGTCTGCAGAACACCCACGGGTGGCGGCGTGGGTGCTTTATGAACTGCACCGCCCACTGGTTTTTTAAAGTTTGGTTTTGGAACCCATTGATTGCATGGGCAGAATTCTTTGTAGGCCGATGCGCAATTTGTCTTATAGGAACCAAAATGTTCATAATACGTGGCCGTCATCGTAGCATTGTTATCGATTTGAAGCGAATGCCCAGTTTTCTTTTTTTTTGTGTAGTCATTTTTTTTCAATTTTCTGTGTAGTCAGCCTCTGCATAACTAAAGGCAGCCAGTACGCAGTCTCATCGTGCGCGACCACGCCGCCCCGTCTCGCTCGCGTTTCTGAACGCGCGTGTGCCCCGTGCGTTCACAGACATGGAAGACCATCAACAACTTCTCAGTTCGCGTGAAGCACCTGAACCCGGTGACGGGTCGCTACGTGAAGATGGCGCTGCAGCTGTACCAGGTGGACGGGCGCAGCTACCTGCTCGACTTCAAGTCGATCCCCAGCGACGACTCTGCGCCGCCGGCCGCCAGCGGTGAGTGGCCGCCGGCGCGCCGTCGGCCGCCCCCGCCGGGCGCGGCCCGCTGTCGGCGTGGGATCGCAGTTAACCGTATCGTCGAAGCGTCCGCGCCGTTAACCGCTACCGCACTGTCCGTCCGGTGCCGTGTGCTGCGACCGTCGCACGGCTGTCTGCTGCCAGCGGTCACACACACACACGCAGTCGGCCGCCACTGCCCTGTCCCGTGTCCTGTCCTGTCGTATCCCTGTCCCTGTCCCTGTCCCTGTCCCTGTCCCTGTCCCTGTCCCTGCCCCTGTCCGTGTCCCTGTCCCTGTCCCTGTCCCTGTCCGTGTCCGTGTCATTGTCCATGTCAGTGCCCACGTCCCTGTCCATGTCCATGTCCATGTCCATGTCCTTGTCCTTGTCTCTATGCCTGTCCTGCCCTGTTCTGCCCTGTCGCGCCCCGTGAGCAGCCCCAATCCGGCCAACCGGGCCTAGTCCGCCCTTTCTTTCGTCGAGAGCCCCGCGTGCCGCCGTGGTCGCCGCGACCGTTGTCGCGCTGTCGGACCGGAGGTGCGCCTCTGTCAGTCCCACCCTCTCGCCCTGTCACTCGAGCCCACCCTCACTCCTCTCGGGCGTCACCGCTGCCGGCCAGAGCTCACCCCGGACGCCCCCGGTGCGGTGGCGTCCTCAGTTCGCCGCCGCGCTGCTCGGCCCAGCGGCGGTCGTTGGCGACTGGGGTCGTGGTTTTCCGTACTGTACGCGTAGACTAACTGTCGTGAGATTCACCACCGTTTCAACCGGCATCCCACGTCGTGTAGCCCGCATGCCCGCCTGCTGGTTCGGTGCGCCACCGGTCGCATGTACCGGCGAGCCGGCCACCGTGCCCGGCCCTCCCCGGGCCCGGCTCTGGCTTTGGTCGCGTCGTCTTCCGGCGCGGCTTGGCTCGGGCCGCCCTAACCCGTGAGCGCAGCCGCACGCGCCGCCGCCGGGCGCTGCCCCGCCGGCGTCCGGCTGACCCTGACCTCTGACCCGGTAGCCGCCGCCGGCGCCGCCATCCCGTCCGTGGAGATCTGGCCGCCGGTGAACGGGCTGGACGAGAGCGAACGTGAGTGGCGCCCGCCGCCGCCAGGAGCCGGCGCCTGGCTGCTGGCTGCTGGCTGCTGGCTGCTGGCTGCGGGCGGCGGCAGGGCCGACCGCTGAGTCGCACGGCTGCTGCTCACGCTGGGGGTCGCGTTTCTGTCCGACGCCACCGCTCTCAGACTGCGCTCGACGTTTCGGTCTTGCTTTGTTTGGTTGTGGCTGGGTTGACATTTTCATGTGCTGAACAGTTGTAGCGGCACGAAAGGCTGTTGTATTGGTACATGCGAATCGCAAAATTATGTGCGCACCGAATCTCAGGTGTGGTCGCTATTATCACGCTCCAGCATCTCGTTCAATGGCACTGACGCATGCACTTGGGGTCCTTTAGGGTGTGCGAGTGCATGCCGAAGCCTGGGGTATGGCAAGCATCGATAGCCAGGCATGCGTTCCTCGTCACCTCGAAACCATGCAGGTGTTCTCTGTCATATTTATGTATGCCTTGTAGTTTCCTGTGCTCGGTTTCAGCAACATTTTGCAATGGGCGGTTAAGTTGCTTTACCACCTCTGCTCTACCCGCGCCTCGAGTATTGTTGGACTTGTGTTCGTGCTGACTTGTTACAGGGGTAAGATGCACGAATACGCACCGGGAAACCGTATCTTGGGACAACCCATGGGTTGAGTAACTCGCTTAAGATCGTTCGAGTAAAGTTCGTCGGGATATTATTGTGTAGTATTGAAGGTCGTGCAGGCGCCAAATGTGAGCTGAAAACGCTAGGGCTAAAAGCGGACTTACATATTGACGGGTACGCGATCAGTTAGCACAACATGGAGGACGCTGTATTTTACGGTGGCATCATTCATAGCACTGCAGCTTTTGAAGTTTCGTTTGTGCGTCACACGGGTGTTGGAGTCCCCCATGGGGTAGGCTGTCCTGTGTTTCCCGCCGTCCGTTGACTGGCGCCTGAAGGCGGCCGTGTTTGCGCCGAGCCGAGTGAGTGTGCGGCCTGCGGCGGCCGTGTCTGACCGGGTCCTGTGCGCAGAGCCGGCGGCCCAGCCTGCAGCCGGCCTCCTCACCGGTCAGCCGGCCTCCGCGGGAGCCTCGTCCGCCTCCGGAGGAGCCTCGTCAGCCTCCAGTGAGTGCCGCCGGCTCGGCCCCGACCCGTGTCTCCGGTCTGGTGACCTGACCGGGGCTGGCGCTGCGGCCGCGCTGGTCTTCAGGGCCGCAAACGCGGATGGAAGGCGGCATTGGTGGTCGGAAGGCGGTGTGCAGTGCGGCAAAAGCCTTGAGTAGTCCAGAACGTAAGCCTTATTTTGCCGCAAATGTTGATGATTCAGGTATTCCTGTGTCGGGATTCGCAGTATATAGACTCATCTGGTCCCCACCGGATACTTATTTGTATGGTGTATGTATAGACAGAGCATCAGTTAATGCTCGGACAATTTCACAAATGGCCCGCGGATGGCAACCTGGCCAGCCAGTGAGTCGCACTCATATTTGACCACTCGATTGATATCACCCATTGTCATAGCCTGTCTGAAGTCTGGGACCCGCGAGCCTGTGGGAGCGGGACTGGGTCTGGGGCCTCGGCGCAGGACGACTGCGCCGGGCCGGGGCGTGGCTGCCCAGCCGCCGTCGCTGACGTCCGCCGCGCGTCCCCAGGCGTCGCCAGCTACTCGTCGTCGAGCTCGTCGGGTGCGGAGGAGACGGGCCCGCGGCCGGTCTCGGCGCCGGCCGGCACGCGCGACGGCCGTCTCTCGCAGCAGGTGAGGCGGCCGGACGCGGCTCGAGCTGCCGCCCCGCCGCGGCGGGCGGCGGGGGGTGACCCTGAGCTAGGAACTCTCCGAGCGGGGCCGTCCTTCCGCTCGCTGTTTCCAGCTACCGCGCGTCAACTACTTCGCTCGTATCTCAGCGGTCACCGATGGGGCTGTTCGCTAGGACCGCACGCTCTTCTCGATGGCATGGAGTGACGATTGGGCCTGGTGTCCGGCAGAGCTCGGCGGACGCTGCCGCCCCAGCCACGGGCGCCCGCCACTACACCATGGAGTTTTTCGAGATGTGCTCGGCGCTCATCACACAGCTGGCCCGCTAGGCGGCGCTGTCCGTCTGTGGCGGCCGCCAAAGGTGGCGTCGCGGCGGCCTGTTGGAAAACTGCGACGCAAGGATCGGAGAGTAGCGGACATGAAGCTCCGAAAGCGTGGGGTTCGCGTAGTGGTACTGCGGCACTCGAATGCTCACCATTAACTTGAGGAACTTGGAGCAACGTGTGGTTTGGGTGTTGTGAGCAATTGTGTCCCGTTTTGGTGAAAGTTAATTGTCCTGCTGTGCCTGGCGCCGTAATCGTACGATAACACGGGCCTGTTCGCCCTGTCATTAGCGATCGTTTTACTAATCTGTGAGTAGTTAGTCGTCTCGCGCATGTAATCCGCCGCAAACCGTAGATTGAACACCCTTCGCGTCGTGAGATGTTGTGCCGATACCCACATGAGTGCAATGGTAACGTAACCTGGGCGCATCGGTTGATTTGACATTTGATTTTAGCGGCCAGGTATGGGTGGTGCTGCCAGTGCTGAGGGGTGGGGACACGGCGCCGCGCCCGTCGCTCCGGGCGGGGCGTCAGGTGCGGTGTGGGTGGTGCTGCCCGTGCTGAGGGGCGAGGACACGGCGTCGCACCCGTCGCTCCGGGCGGGGCGTCAGGTGCGGTGTGGGTGGTGCTGCCCGTGCTGAGGGGCGAGGACACGGCGTCGCACCCGTCGCTCCGGGCGGAGCGTCAGGTGTGGCGCGGCCTTTGAGTCCGCTCGGGAGGGGTAGGGCGACCGCGTGGGCCTACCATCCGGGGCTGTGTGCCTGTAGGCTGTTCGGACGGCGGGGGGGGGGGAGGGGAGACGCACCAACCCTGTCGTGGATGTGCCGGGATGAGGGGCGGTCTGTTGTGCGTGAGTCTGCTGCGCTAGAATGGAGAGGCTGTGTCGGCGTGCCATTTTAGAGGCTTATTGGGCGCATGGTGTGTGCTCTCGCGCGGGGAAGACTGTCGGCGCTCGGCGAGATAGACGGTAGAAACACCAATCCCCGCACCGCGTCCTTCGCGTCGAGTTTTATCCACTGAAGAACGGATTTGGTTGTGACGAATGATGGGCTCCCGCGTTCTTCCGCGCTGAATGGCATTTTCCCTCTGAATGAAGCCGTCGTGCTCAGTTGTGTGCCCCGCGCGGAGTGAGAGCGATTTTGGAGTAACTACGGTTAGGTCGAGCGTCGTCCACGGGTGGAATGGCCGGTCGGAGTTGGTGCCTCTTCGACGCCCGTGGTCTGCGTTGACCGGGCATTTTAGTGTGGCGCGCGGGGTCGACAAAGACTCGCTCGGTAGATTTAACATCGCGCTCCGCATGGCTGGTCCGCGCATGGTGCATGTGTGGCTGCAGACTGCCAGCTAGACATGATGAATACACTGGGATAGATTGACACGCGTGTCATGGCGTCGTGGGATCCCTGCGGCGCCGTCACTTCGCCGGCCAGCGACTGAGCCATATCGAAGGGTCCCGTTAGCTCCTCCTGCGCTGTGCGGTGGTGGCGGAGCCCGCTGCCCGCGGCTGCTAGCCCCGCAGAAGCCCGCCATGGTACTGGGGCGGTGAAATTCTCTACTCAGAAGTTCTCTACAGAGGCCTTCGCGAAGTGGCCTATGCTGACTACCTTACTTAGAGTCCCTTACTGACCGTACAGTATTGCGTTCCGGTTCTACGAAGTGAAGGATCAGCAGACTAGTAATGAGCTGAGTGCGAACCGGTCGTGCAAATGTGCTCGTGATACGTTTGAAAATATTACTGAGCTGGGACGTCCAAAATATAGAAAGAACATTCCAACCAGCCTGCTTTAATTCAACGGGAGACTTCCGGATAATATTTACCCCTTCTTCAGCCTTGTTCAGTCGATGTGATCGAAAACGGATTTAGACGCGCTAAGAAAAACAAAAAATCGCATGCAATCAGTATTCCTATCCCCATGGTGTAACAAAAGTAGAATCGCTGGTTTTCCATTTTAACTGCGGGTAAATATTGCAAAGTACTGGCAAAGAATACACTAAATGCGCTCACAGTTTGGATGCAATAATAAAGCACTTAAGAATGTCGCTGCGTCACATCACTGACGCCGCGCATACATCTTGGGCATGCACATAGCTTTTCCATATTTTGGAACCGACCTAGTCACGACGCATACGGCATATCGCAGCATGCAAAACAGGATAGCTCACACGTGTACAAATACCCAGACCCTAAGCCCACTATCGCACCCCGTGTTGCACATTACCCAAGCCGACCGCTCTATTTCAGTTTTTTTCATTTAACATTCCGAGATACACTCGCTGTGGGTGTCCTCGGTTGTTATGAGTGCTGGGTAGCTGGAGAGTTGTGATTGGTGGGTGGCTGAAGAGTTGCGAGTGGTATGTAGATGAAGAGTTGTTATGAGTGGTGGGAAGCTGAAGGGGGTAAGAAGAGTTGGTATGACGTAGGAGCAGGAAATCGCTGGACGTTTCGGCTCTGCGGCAGAGCCGTGAACACAGAGCTGCTGAAGCGCTCTCAATACAGCGCTGAAGGAGGCTGTGGTCGGAACGTCTGCAGCTTCTCTGCTCTCAGAACTGCTAACGTCTATACATGACGACCAGCAGCCATCAAGCAGCCGTGGTAACTTACAAATTGAATAAGGTCGAACTAAAACTGCGGCGGTTATAGGAAAACGGCGTGACGAATTGTTTGACGCCTGCTGTAGACAACTGTGATGATGCATGTGGCCAAAAATATCTTCTGACTCATCTGCAACCACATCACCACCAGCTTCCAGCCGCCAGGGCGGTCAGGCTGTCCAATACTCAGAACCAGCCAGTGCGGCGGCGGGCCACGCGCCACCAGCGGACCGCGGCCGTCCACCGATTACGGGCGGGCCGGCCCGGGACACGGCCCGTCAATTGGTGGGAGTGAAGTCAGCGGGCAGCCGCGGCGATGGCGGCCTGCTTCCGGACTGAGTCAGCTCCGGTTCGGCGCCGCGCCCGCCGATAAAAATACGCTCGCGTGGTGACAGCAGAGCACGCAATTCCGGCCGCCGGGCCCGCGTCATACACGACAGCGCACGCCGGGTGTGGCGGCGTCGCGTCGGCGAGTTGTGAAGGGGACCCGGCGAGTGAAGCGGCTCGGGTCACCGTCCCGGCTCCACGGCCTCATGACGGTCTGAGTCATGTCCATGCAGCTGCACGCGTTCTGAGTGACAGCGGCATTCGGAGGCGGTGGGCGAGTATTGCTGTCTGTGGTGGCGAATGAGGTCAGATGGATGCTATGATCTACGCGATGGCGTTACTTGGCGGGAGGAAACCTTTTCCGGTCTTTATATTCATGCAGGAAACGGTAAATAACACATACGGGAAGGCTGGTGTACATAAGGGTCGAAATTGCTCGAACTGCATTATTAATGCCTGCGTAGCAAACACCACGCTTTGTTATGGTCCGGGGAGCACCTAGTTGGTTCGAACTACTCAAGATTCGTTTCGATAGCTGGATGAATAGGGGTTTGGTGTTATACAATTCAACCGATGCGAGTGCAACAGCTCGATGGAGACAAGCACTCCATCCTTGAAAATTACACCGACGTTAGGGCACCTTTGTAAGTAAGATAATGCCATTGAATAAATCGCTACGATACATCGGCGATAGGTTGCCATCAGCGCATGCAAATTTCACTAAAATATTTCCATAATTTGAAATGGCAGCATCGTCCCACACACATTCACTGACGAAATTTACTTTGGTATAGGTAAAGAGGCGTCACTTTATACACTTTTATCCCCTTCCCGAAATACTGACTTGAACCCCTCCACTGCCTCTCTGATGCATCCTCCCCTCCCCCCGCCCAAACGCATTCGGGCAGAATGAAGAAATATCGGGCTGAGGGAGCAATGAAAAATCCTTGACCTGTTAGCACGGTTACCTGAGCACATCACTGAGCATCACGTCCCCTGTATACCGCGTAGTATCCCGTAGCCCTTTATAGGGGCTAGCGTTATTAGACAGGAGCTGAATTTGGTACCAAGTCTAAAATGCACGAAAACCAGGATAAACAAACAGAAGTGAATCCCAGCGATTGTCGAGCCGATCACAACGGCGGTTGAATTTCGTGGCGGAAGTGGTATTTTTTAGTCATGATGTACCTTTCCGTCATTTTACATTTGTGAGTCTGGGTCTCATGGCACAAAACCATATGCCGGAAAGACATGAAATGACTAATTACTACGTGGATAGTAAACAAGAATGTTTGCGGAGTAAAATTTCCCGGCTATTTTGATATACCTGACAGCATTCCATGGGTTTTACACCGATATACGATGACTTTTTAGGCATTTCAGCTCTGTTCAGCAACACCAGCGTAAAATCACCGCCAGCGTTGAGGGAAGCTCTTCAAGGGCATCATAAGGAGAAACGTACTTATGGAAAAAATCGATGCGGAAAGAATGGCACAGGTAAGAAAATAAACATATTTTGCTCGTAGCGATGTGTTCTAGGACTAAACCCTTTTCAGATATTTCGGCCCAATAATTTTCATCTTCCAAATAGTAAAGCTTCGTCTCTTTCCCGGTGAAGTCCGACTTGACCACCATATTGGCCATGGATTGAACGAACATTGCTCGCCACAATGTCGGACAGCGCCGTTTCGTAAGCACTTTATAAGCATCGAAACAAATGTCATTTTTTAGTTCAAAGATGTCTGATTATTGGGCCTGATAAATGTCTGGTTAGATATATCTTACTGGAAATAATCGCGTCTGAAAATAAGCGCTGTCGTTTTCTCCAAATCGAATAATAGACCGCAATGGACACTTTTGAGATTAAAACAAAACGACAACCGCAGTGTTTGGAGTGTATCACGAGGCGCAGAGCCGCGCCCTCTGTTGCTTAACTTCTGCTGCCGCGGCGGCAAAAGTTTTGTAACGGCGCGCCGCTGCAAAACACCGGTGCTCTGCCGGACGTCAGCCACCGCAGAGGCAGGCCCGTATCGGCAACACATGACTTCACTGGAGCCTAGTCATCAAGCGCTATCACCTCCGGGACGTCCCGGGCCGGCTGAGGGGCGGACCATGACCTGGTCTGGCCCGCAGACCTTTTGTGGATTGACATTCAGTAATGTAGTTGCGCCACTGTTTGAAACAACGAGTGTAACTTTTGCATCGGTTCCGGAGTAATGTTCAAAGGCTTTTTTAATAGACCTGACGACACATTGGGTCTCGCTCCCGTTTATCGCTGTTTTCGTGCTTTTCAGATTGGGACCCTATCAGTTCCTCGTCTCATAACGTTGTGAAAAGGGCTTATTTTTCACTAATGGAATACTGGGGACTTTCGTCGCCGTCTGGTGTGTTAGCACACACTCACTGTTTCTCATTCCGTTTCATTCCAGTCAAGCTCCGCATCACTCTCCATGTATACGTCGCATCCATCAGCCATGTATACGTCGCAGCCATCAGCCATGTATACGTCGCAACCCAAATCCTCTCCTTGAAATTGCTGGGATTCGAACCAGGGTCTCTTGATTGTCCTCGATCTCCCCGACCAGAGTTTTCTTAATTGTTCTTTATCTTCTCGACCAGGCCCTTCTTGATTGTCCTATCTTCTTGATAGGCCCTGGTTAAGGGCCTTCCACTTGTCTTCATAGGTACCCGATGTGACACTATTAGTATTTGTGTGCGATGTGCGTTACTTTGCGACGTGCACCATCAGATTGTACAAAAATTTCCGAACTCATCTCAGAGCGGTCTGCTTGACTCCAAACGTCTAGTCCGCCCACAATGCTGAATTTACTTAACTTTTAACTATCACAAGAGGCGGTAAACCGACAAAGAGCCTTCAAATGTCTAACTTTAGCGCACGAAAGTGTGAACACAAACATGTCCCATTCACAACGGTATTCTCTAATTAAGATTTTTATCCACCTCAAAGGTAATCCTAATTTGTTTAAGAAATGACCCTTTTCTACCCAAACAACTTAGTCCCTTAGTTTGTGCGGTCGTCAACGCGGTCATCAACGGACATCTGCCCACCGAAGTTTGTTGCGTGGGCAGTACGGTACCGGCGCGAGGTATCACATTCCAGTACGGTACCAGCGCGAGATACCACATTCCAGCACGGTACCGGCGCGAGGCACCACATTCCTTTTTTTGCTGTCCCTGATGAGTTTTTACACCCGAAGGAAGGTCTATTACGAGCCAGTTTTAGGCATTTACGTCACGCTTCGTCATTTGTGGCTTCTTGGCGCACCTTGTGAGCAGCTAGGGACAAACGCCATGTGAAAATACGCTGTTGAGCAACGAGTGGCGGAGTGGGATGGGATGCATGGGTTATTTTGCTGAAATGCTTTGTTTCCACTAACTTGTAACAAGGCTTATGTGGAGTTTCATGGGGCCGTGGCCTCCAAATGTCCATATAAGAGTAAACTAAGCAGGGGCTGGAAGCAACACTTGGCCGGGTGCAAAAACGCCAGGATGCCACAAGTCACCTGAGTGTCAGGCTCTCGCAGCCGAGTGGAGAGGAAGCGGGTCACTCGACTACAGGCCACAAGTCACCTGAGTGTCAGGCTCTCGCAGCCGAGTGAAGAGGAAGCGAGTCACTCGACTACAGGCCACAAGTCACCTGAGTGTCAGGCTCTCGCAGCCGAGTGGAGAGGAAGCGAGTCACTTGACTACAGGCCACATGTACCAGCGCTGACAGTAATCTTGGCAGGGAATCATCCAATCTATAAGCGTGATTCTCAATCATTTTCATTGTCAGCCACTGTCGCCAAGCGTGTTTTAGCACACACGTTGTGGAGTAGCTGCATGCCGTGGCACCACATGTGTCCAACCCTCACGAGCTGCAAGTGCCACTCCACTGGTGGGCTGGGCTGGGGCAGCTGACACGTATTTCCAATTACACCACACGCCGACTTCGCTACGACATGTAAAGCACGGCTATCTTTCCGATTCGCTTCCGAGTTTAGGATGAGGTAAGTGGACTAATTCATCTCCTGCCCCAAACCTCAGTCGCTGTCGCATCTAGTTATTCGGCCAGACACAACGCCCCAGGAATTGTACGAATTATCATCGCTCCGGGCACTCTCATCTTTTGTTCCACGTTCCAACTGGTTTATTTGGAGAGCATGAGGTTTCCGCCCCCTTTTGTGTCAACAAGCTATTCGACGGCTTAGACCGGACAAGATTTGTTAGAATTGTTGGCAATCCCTGCTGGTGTAATAAAACTAGTGGCCACTTCCCTACGAGCCAGCGTAAGTCTGCGGTAGTAGCTGCTTTCTTACGAGCCAGCGTAAGTCTGCGGTACTAGCTGCTTCCCTACGAGCCAGCGTAAGTCTGCGGTAGTAGCTGTTCCCCTACGAGCCGGCGTATGTCTGCGGTAGTAGCTGCTTCCCCACGAGCCAGCGTAAGTTTGCGGTAGTGGCCGCTTCCCTACGAGCCAGCGTAAGTTTGCGGTAGTGGCCGCTTCCCTACGAGCCAGCGTAAGTCTGCGGAACTAGCTGCTTTCCTACGAGCCAGCGTAAGTCTGCGGTAGTGGTTGCTTCCCCACGAGCCAGCGTAAGTCTGTGGTAGAAGCTGCTTCCCTACGAGCCAGTGTAGGTCTGCGGCGACCTGAGGCCAATTAACTTTAACAATTCCGTTTGCGTGGCGCAGCCATCAGTCACAAGAGCGTAAACATCGTTTGGGAGCACTCAGACAGCTTGTATGGAATACGCGATCGTGAGTGCCTCGAGATCACTTGACTCCTGACTCCTGTGACATCATTAGCGACCCCGAGGGCATTGCAAACACAATTCTTTTGGGTGGGAGGAACCTGGTCTATTAATTGATTACTGGTTGGATTGTTCTAAATATTTCAGAGACGGAGTGAAAATTGCTTTCTTCTGCACTAAGCAAATGCCTCTAAGTTACTACGGATGCTGGATTCATCGGAACAGTTCCTACTCCTTGCTAATGTGAAAGCGTCATCATTATCAAACTAGTTAGTCTATTTCAAACATCTATACCCTTTAGGAGCAATTTACTGCGGTCCCCTACCTTCAAACTTTACAACTGTTACGTCCATTATGTATCCCACCTAATTGCCGGCCGTCTAGCACGAACTACCAGGGAACCTAGGGCGCGACCAGATGACCGTGGCCTTCGGTGGTGACCTGATCGGCGGCCTCTGTACCCTGTGAGGCTCCGATCTGTAGCCTCAGTCAGCAGTGAACACTCCCGGTAACCGGCTCCTCTGTGACGTCATCGCGGAGCGGCGAGCAGTGCCGCCGCGCGCACGGCTGCGCATACGCGTCTATCTGTCGCTGGCGCGGCACGGCGGCAGTGAGTCACCGGTGCCGCGCCTAGTCCGGTTCCACGGATACGGGCCGCACGGATGAGAGGCGGCGCGGCCTCTGGCCCCACCACTGCTGCCGCTGGCGCCACCACTGCTGCCGCGCGCTCCGCCGCCGCAGGCCGACGCGCTCCGCACCTCTGCCGATACGCTCCGCCGCGAGGGCACGCACGCCGACCCCAGGTCACCAGCGCAGACGGTAAGGTGCAGCCCGGCCAGGGCTCTCGGCCGGTGGGTTTGGTTATGTTTGCCAGAGACTGTCGGCAGCTGCTGAGGAGCTCGGGGAGCGGTGTGTGCGCCTGAAAACGGGTTGTAATGCACGGGCGTGCATGCTGCCATCTGGAGAGGCTCGGCGGCGGCGGGCGCGAGCGCTTACCGTGGATCGTTGTGTTAATGCAAAATATTCGCTTGGCACTTGGCCCACACTTCCTGTTCGTGTTGTAGATAAGCCTGCATTTAAAAAGATATTTCAAAACGTTGACATGACGCTTTCACCCGGGCATTACCTGACCCGCAGCTTACGGCGCCGAGGCCGCATACGCATTCAGCGTGCTCCACCGGCAGCGAGGCGTGCTGAATGTGTCTCCATTCCCCTCGTTCCGCGCTCATTGTGTTGTCACTATTCACACGCGTCGCGCCCTGGCACGGGCTGGTTCAAACAAATGGGCTGGCTTGATCCCGTGGCGTTCGCCGCCACCGCGTCGTCTCTCTGCTGTTCGGAGTCCGCTGGATTCGTCGGAACCGACGCTGTACTTGCTGGGTGTGCTCCGAGGGCTGCCCTGATTTCGACAGTTGATACTGTGCATGTGTTTTTAGGGAACGGTGCCCATCTTGTAGACAAACTTTTGCGCTATGCGCCTTGTGTTTTTAAGGGGCGGGCGCACTTGAGTCCTGACAGGGTTTAGTGGGCGGTGCGTCGGAAGAGGTGTCCTCGTGTTTAGCTGTGACGGGTCGCGATTGCAACGGGTTCCCCATGGGTAGCCCCTCCCACCGGCAGGGCGTCGATCCTCATCAGCGGGCGTGACCTGCAGTGCCTCTCTCCAGTAAGCTACCAGTCTTGCCTAGTTTACGATCGTCGCCCGATGCAGGACCGGTGGCTGAATGTTTTCGAGTATGCCCCCGCACATGCACGTGAGAGGTACTCTCGTTATTGCTGGAGGAAGAGAGCGGGTAAACCCGAAAATTTGTGTAACTTTGGCATCCGACCGGTGGTGGTGTGCGGCAAAGATACAAATCAAGCTGCCCGCAGGCTCTCCAGTACTGAACAAGTTCAATCGACTACATTAGTACATACATAGGTGTATGCAAGATTCACTCCCACTCCCAAAGCGCACGTAAGGCACGACTGCTTAGTGTGTGCATTTAACCGTTAAATTCCCTTCCCTCCAGCATCGGGGAGAGGGTGGGGGGGGGGGGGGGGGGGGGGCGTGAGATGTTTCCTGGATTACATGGACGTCGCCGCTCGATTCCCCGCAGCACGCAGGTCGACGCGTTAGTTATGACTAGCAGTGGCCTTCTGTTTCGAGTAATCGCACCTGAACGTTTGATGTGCTTATTTCCTCCGCTTTTTGAATTGAGTCAGTGTATAGTCGCTCTCGATAAATCTAATGTGAAAGCTCGGCTGATCGCTCGGCAGCGAGAGCCCTTTAGATTATTCACTCCCTCGGCACGTCTTTTCAAGTATACTGAGGTGTGAACCTAAGTGTGATTCAAAATACTTTTTGTGCCACAGTTTGAGTATTCTGAAGACCCCGCCCTGCGGTGCGGACTGTCTGACCGAGTGACCCGCGCGGCCGGCAGACATGGCCCTGCTCGCTGTCATACTGTGCGCCTCAGCCCTGCGGAGCGGACTGTCGGACCGAGTGACGCGTCGGGCCGGCAGACATGGCTCTGCTCGCTGTCATACTGTGGGCCTCAGCCCTGTGGTGCGGACTGTCTGACCGAGTGACGCGCCCGGCCGGCAGACATGGCCCTGGTCGCTTTCATACGGTGGGCGCTCTGCCCTGTGGTGCGGACTGTCTGACCGTGTGACGCGCCCGGCCGGCAGACATGGCCCTGCTCGCTGTCATACTGTGCGCCTCAGCCCTGCGGAGCGGACTGTCGGACCGAGTGACGCGTCGGGCCGGCAGACATGGCTCTGCTCGCTGTCATACTGTGGGCCTCAGCCCTGTGGTGCGGACTGTCTGACCGAGTGACGCGCCCGGCCGGCAGACATGGCTCTGGTCGCTTTCATACGGTGGGCGCTCTGCCCTGTGGTGCGGACTGTCTGACCGAGTGACGCGCCCGGCCGGCAGACATGGCCCTGCCCGCTTTCATATGGTGGGCCTCAGCCCTGCGGTGCGGACTGTTTGACCGAGCGACGCGCCCGGCCTGCAGACATGGCCCTGCTCGCTGTCATACGGTGGGCCTCAGCCTTGTGGTGCGGACTGTTTGACCGTGTGACGCGCCCGGCCGGCAGACATGGCCCTGCTCGCTGTCATACTGTGGGCCTCAGCCCTGTGGTGCGGACTGTCTGACCGAGTGACGCGCCCGGCCGGCAGACATGGCCCTGCTCGCTGTCATACTGTGGGCCTCAGCTCTCGGCCCACTGGCGGCCGGCCATCTGTACGCCATGAAGAGGTGCCCGAACCCCACACCGGTGGAGAGCTTCGATCAGTCACGGGTGAGTCCCGCATGTGTGTGGCGGGTCCTATGCAGATCCGTCCTCGCACGGTGCGCTTGGAGTTATTGCTGCCTCGTTACATGGATTCATAAACGTCCTGTATCATGTATATATATATATATATATATATATATATATATATATATATATATGCAGAGACAAAAGGGCATGTGAAGTGTGGTGCGCACACCATGTGTAGGCCTGGCTTGTAACGTACACATGATAGCAAATTGGCTTGTAAATCACCGGGTTTTGCTTTGAATTTGCTAATGGCCATGACGTGAGTACATGACACTTGCCGGTCATGAGCTTGATTCGGCGATAGCCACAGTGAAGGGTCACGAGTTCCTTTAATAATCGCACGAAATAGCGAGTCACGACCATGGTAGCAGGTCACGCCTCCGCGGACCGTCGTGACTGTCGTCGGCGTTTGTGTGCCTTAATGTGTCGCGTTTCCATGGTTCGTCCTGACGAACCATGAGGTTCGTCAGGAGGAGGCGCCCGCCACCCGCATATTGTGTCATTCAGCGGTTGGTGCTCTGAAGGGCCGATTACCATCAAACGCTGCCTGAATATGCAGTCACATTTGCCACCGATTGGATTGTTTTTTAGCCAAGGCTACTTGAGCCAAACTATTTATACAAGGCTATTCATAAACAAGGCTATTTGACCAAGTATTGCAGGCATGGCGAACCTGCTAAACTCATTGTAACAAGCGCCTCTAGACGGTAAATTACAATGTATTGCTGTTTGAATACACACACACAACACACACACACACACACACACACACACACACACACACACACACACACACACACACACACACACACACACACACACACACACACACACACACACACACACACACACACACACACACACACACACACACACACACACACACACACACACACACACACACACACACACACACACACACACACACACACGCACACACACACACACACACACACACACACACACACACACACACACACACACATACACACACACACACACACACACACACACACACACACACACACACGCACACACACACACACACACACACACACAATATATATATATATATATATATATATATATATATATATATATATATATATATATATATATATATGTATGCATAGCCTTCATCTTACACCAAATGGCCAGTGTAACCGGCGGAACGACGACAGCGCCTCTTCGAAGCAGCGGTTGATAATCTAATCCTCAGTCGTCAAACCTTCATACTACCAAGTGTGCGAAGAAAGGCAAGCATGGCCCTTAGCATCCATTGTGGCTTCAAACAAAGCCCATGCAATGTTTAGCGTTTAGACATTACAAAGCAATGACTGTTCGTGTTCAAGCGCGCCGAAACATAATTCTGGTAGCGTGCCTTTGGCAAATAAATCAACATTATGGTGAAGGCATCGCGTATAAGGTAGAGATGGATGTAACTGCCACAGCTGCGGTGCTATAGCAGTAACGCAATAAAAGTTATATCTGATGACTGTTGCAGTCATCACATTAACTTTCCCCGATGACCTATTGTCTGAACTCACGGTCAACGCTGAACATGCTGGTATGCCTGACTTGCCGGCGTTGTGTTATCCCCTCCAGCTCCATAGCCCGCCCGATCGAGCACCGAGCTCTGCATCACCGAAAGCGCGTTTGTCACCCTACCTGACCTCGGTGCCTCGTCATGTGCCCCAGGTGCTGGGGATGTGGAAGGTCGAGTGGGCGGTCAAGACCACCAGCTCTTGCATGGAGTTTGAGTTCAAGGAGGAGGGCGACGCGTTCAAGGTGTACGAGTTCAAGGAGTTGTCCGCCTCCGAGAAGGCGGGGGTGGAGATCAAGTACGGGTCCGTGGGCACTCTGACACGCACCGGAACGCCAGGGTTCTACAAGGCCTCCTACTCGACGAGTGAGTGGCGCTTAAGGCCTGGCGTACTCGCTACGCTATCCAGCGAAGGCGCCACGGACTGTGCCACGCGAGCCATCTGCCGCGTATTTAGTGCACCACCCAGTCCAAAAAACCACCGACTCAGGGCCCCGGCTTGACACAGGAGCCTTGAAACGACGGCCACGTGGCAGTCACTGGCAGAGCCCTGGCTGATCCTGACTGTTACCTTTTGTTCACTGTAGCTGTCAACAACAGGTAATTGTAGCTGACTCCGTAGCGAGCGGCACCTGAGGTCTTTCGCATCCCACGAAGCAGCAGGCCGAAAAACCCGCGTGTTTGCAACGCGCTCTGATTGGTGTTTGGCATGGCTCCGAGCGGCGGACGGGTGGGGTCGTCGGCTGCCGCGGGACGCGGAACTGCCGGTCCATGAACAGCTCTGTGTTCCCACGGCGACTGCATCCGGTGTGTCATGGCGCCGATGTCGCCGGCGTTCACCCCGGCCCGCAACATTCTGCCGCTTCTGCGCCAACCGACACTGCGCAGGTTCACTGGAGCTGCTCCCAGCCATGTTGGTATGCGCGCCGACGCTATGCAGTGTGCATTCAGTCCTGGTGGGAAATAGGGCTTGGCTTCATCAGAGTCGCGCACATTCGGGCTCTTGCAGCTTGTACACCCGCCTCCACCCCCCCCCCCCCCCCCCTATCAGGTTTATACGTGTTTGTCATTGTGTGGGCGACCAAAAGGTATGTTCTCATGCGTGCAATTCATTACGTTTATGATATAATTAGTCCTGTCCAAAACTGAGATGAACTGACGTTAAGAAGAGATCATCATCGCGCCTTGTGCGATACGCATGCTGGAGCGAACACCATTTTTCGTGCTCATTTCAATTTTGTGTTGTTCAGGAACACATCATTACATGCAACGCCTGTTCGCTCAATGCAGTCGTATCTTTCCTACAAGAGCGTATGAGGACACCGTGGCTTCCATGTCCTGTATCAATGGTGCCACTTCTTTCCAGCCGATCTCGATGGTGTCGACGGAGTCCACAACTTAGCATTGCCAGTTCGTGTCCATGACGTATCCAGTTCATAACTGCTAAATTAAATTGGCTGGTTCGTCTTTCCGCAATATTTGGTCTGTTTTATTTACATCTATATTTTTTTCTTTTTTGTATTGTGTCCAATTTTTCTAGGCTGGGAAGAATTTGCAGTTTATAAGCCTGCCCAACAAAAATGGAGAACAGATCAACAGAAAAAGCCACTTTGATCTTTGTTTGAGGCCACAACGGCGTAGCAGAGTGCTATCACAATTTGATATGTTTGTATGGCAACCCCATGTAACCTAAAGCACAAATGTGCAGAATGCACTGCAAGGTGAAAGGCCAACGGCTGCCAAATTATGTCACATGAGTAAGGAAGAGATGAAGCAATTTCCTGCGTGCTTCACTGCAAAAACAGCGTTCCGATTATTTCCGCCCGCAAAGGCCCGGCGTTCCTCGCATCTGAATATCCATGCCACTTACCGGACACGTCTGACGCAGTTCTTCGGTTATCTGGGCCATGGTGACCTCAAGTCCCCTTCGCTCCTCGCCGTGGCTGACCGTGTCCGTGGAACACTGTCAATGGCGCGCGGTGACTGGCCGTGCCCCACACTGTGGCTGACCTTGTTCCGCGCTGTGATTGACCGTGTTCTGCACTGTGATCACGCAGGCAAAATCTCCGGCCGATTCGTGATATTGGACACGGACTACGAGTCCTACCTGGTGGTGCTACACTGCATGCAGTTGGGCCCTCTGGGCAGCCGACGCACCATCTACGTGCTCTCCAAGGGCGGCACGCCCATCTCGAGCGCGGTGCTCGACCAGGTCAGTGGGGCCAGGCGTTAACACGTGCGCGCGCTGTGAGAGTGGGGTGTCCATGTGAAGGGCATGTCTCGGGTTCGTAGCGGGGTCATCTGAAATCGAAAGGTCACTCGAGTCTTGAATACAGGCCTAATGCGAGTATTTGGTTGTTTGGCATTTAATGGTAAAGTAAATATCACATGGGCCTGTGGCAAGAGTTTAGCCTAGATGGGTACGATGATGACGTCAAGTCTGTCACTTGGCTTAATTCCCGTCTAAATTACTGGCGCTGCGCGTGGCAATTTCGACAGGTTACTGCATCACTAGTGGTTGGTATGCAGGCTGCCAGCTGTTGTGTTCTCGGTTCGGAGAAGAGTGACTCCAGTTCGTGGAGTCCGATTAGGCTCGCCTGTAGACGTTGTGTTCTCGGTCCGGAGAAGAGTGACTCCGGTTTGTGGAGTCGGGTCAGGCTCGTCTGTAAACGTTGTGTTCTCGGCCCGGAGAAGAGTGACTCCGGTTTGTGGAGTCGGGTCAGGCTCGTCTGTAAACGTTGTGTTCTCGGCCCGGAGAAGAGTGACTCCGGTTTGTGGAGTCGGGTCAGGCTCGTCTGTAGACGTTGTGGAATCGGATCAGGCTCGTTTATAGACGTTGCATTCTCGGTTCGGAGAAGAGTGAATCCGTTTTGTGGAATCCGATTAGGCTCATCTGCAGACGCTGTGGTATTGGATCGGGCTCGTCTGTAGACGTTGTGTTCTCGGTCCGGAGAAGAGTGGCTCCGGTTTGTGGAGCCGGATCACGCTCGTCTGCGGACGTTCCCGCACGTGTCACGTGGCGTCTGATGACTGATGACTACACACGCGGCAGCTGTTTTCCATTTAACTGCATGTTGAACAGAAGTGGGTTCCCATTATCCGCAGTGTTTTGTGAGAAAACTATTTTAATTGTTCTTCCAGAGATAACCCCAGCAACTGAACTTCGGTTAGTCTTGAGTGAGTCACTCACACCATAAACCAATTGTTGCATGCACTCCAAGGACATACGGATCAACGTCCTGTGCTATCTAGTAAGCAAACCATTGAATAAATGCACCGGATGGCTGCAGCAGAACTGTCGGAACGAAGCTCAAGCGTCATAGCAGGCGTGCATTCCTGCTAGCTCGTCGGCATCTCCCGGTGCCGAGTCGGGGCCGTCCGGGGCCTAGTTCTCGGCGTGTTCAACATTCGCTCAACGGCAGAGGACTCGAGGGCCCCCGAGTTTTCCGGAACAACGTCCGAACAAACGGCACGGCACTGACATTTCGAGAAGCTTGGCTACATCCTTTCTACACGCGTTGTGAAAGCTGTAAGCTTTTAATCCCTGGGGTCATAGCCTACCACCGGTCTTCGAGTTCGTGTCGCTGATATTTTGCTTCAAATTAAAAACATGGCTTAGTTGTTGCAGAATATGCACATCAAATATATTTCCTAGACTGTTTTCCTTGTCTGTATCAACGATGTGCAGTAGCAACGTTCTGGTGGCTTTACCATTGCCAAGTCGTTCAAGGTCAAGCTGGGTCAAACATCGACATTTCTCCACGCATTTTGCATTTTAATGTCATTCTATCTGGCCAATGACACAAATTTTACAGCTATGGAAGGCATTTCAAAAACTGCCTTCCACATCGATGTGTCCTGTTCAGTTTTTGATGTAGTCGTACATACCAATGCACCAACAGCCTTCCTTCCTTTCACCTGACATGCTTTGTCATAATTAATATGCATCGATGCTCACTAGTGCCCATTTGATACGCTTTCCAAAACCTATTTAACAGCGCCTTCCGCATCGTGGTACCATGCTTAGTTATTGAAATAACAGAAGGTGTTTATCGGGGGAAAATAAATCTACAAAGTGGTAAGTTTGACCACTATGACCTGATTTGACCCGTTGACGGCCAAATTTACAATCGCTCAGGTACACCTATCTGGTGCAGTTTTCATGCTGTCTCAAGTTCAGCCTATGACCATAACCCTTTCGCCGGGGGAACCACGTCTCTGCTGTCGCGGTGCTGGGCTGGGCTGGATCCGCCTTTTTGTAGTTTACCCTACCCGACTTTCCATACACCTTCCAGAGCTGCCTTGACACTTATCTTTGTATTCAGTGCATCTAGGGCTCTTATTAAATGCGAATCCAAAAGTCGTAGTCTGAATACGACCGCTAGTGTCTTGAGTCCGAGCCAATCATTTCAGCATTACATTACACTGGAGAATACGGCCTTAAAAGTTCCGAATTACTAGTAGAATCCAAATTATTTTCGGCAAGTATCACCCTGCTCCAGAAGTTAGAAGTCCGGAATCCACTCGGAGTCCGCCCGGACTCGGAGCACACCTGTTCGGGCCCACTGCTGGTGTCTCACGCACCCAGCCGTTGCAATAACGCCGACGTTAATAAGCCGTCCTTGGTGGGAGGTCGGCCGGCAGCCCGTGACGCGCCCTTGGTGTGACGGCGCCGCCGCTGTGGTCGTGCTCCGCTCCGCCGGTGCGGCAGGTGCGGGGGTGCGGGCTATGTCCGCCACTTGCCAGCCGGAGCCGACAGCGCCACTGTCGGTCCACGCTCAGGGGCGCATGGCCAGGCGCTGGGTGGGAGAAACGCGTTTAGGAGAGGGTGAGGGGGGTGCAGCAGTTCGTTGTTTATGCCAATGCCGGTTAGGACTAGGGGTTTAGTGACTTTTTGTCCGAACCCCGTTCGTTTCTGTCAATACGGCTGCTTTGGCAAGAGGCTTCTACCTATTTGAGCAATTCGTGATCCAGCAGTTTGCTGCTGCACTGCTTTTGAGATGCAGGGAAATGTTAGAAAAGTTACAAACAAGGATCTTGAATGTTTTTTTTGGTCTTAGAAATCGATACCTAACACCATTAAAAAGGCATTCATTTCAAGACGTTGCCGCTCGTATTAACATCAGTGAAATCCACAGGCGCCTTTGTTGTTCACTTTACCGATATATATATATATATATATATATATATATATATATATTCGTGCACGTAGGTAGTATGCTTTCGTTAAGGGAAGTTTTGTTTTACGGAAGGGCAAATGTACATGTCATCAGTTTCTTGTGCGTTTGTTCCATTGCTCGAATTAAATCTTTCGTCGTTTTCGGTGAGTCATAAATCAGCTCGCCTATATATAATATAACCTGGCCATAGATATAAGCGTAAACAAGCTAACGTTTCAAGGACACTCATTCTCCATTCTCAAAGCAATGTGAGGTGGTCGGACGGAAAACATTTGAATATGGCAAAATACGAGGCGTACTCGACAAGGCATAATCATTGTTGGACCATCAGGCAAAATATTATACACTCGAATATCTAGTTGAATTACAAAGCACATTCAAAAGGCGTATACTACTTTTCCAGCCAGCTTAACAACATGGAAAAGGAAAAGACATCGAATCACCCCGCTGCCATTGGGTGACTGAACACGTCCGAAGTAATGCATGACTTAAGTTGTTTGTTTAAGTCAGGCATTCATTCTCTGATGAGGATGACTTCAAGAACTTGTAGACGGCGTTTGTTCGGAAATGGTTTTAGAATCAGTGTGTTTTCAGTCAGTTCAGAGCGTAAAAGTTTTTGGTGGTGGGTTTTGCGCACATGTTGGTCTGGCACTCCCCCGTGCAGGTATATATATATATATATATATATATATATATATATATATATATATATACATGTCTATGGACATTCGCAACGGGCATCATACATGTCGTTACCATAAGGCAAAGCGATCAATGCATTTCGTGAGAGAGGAGATGGCGTTGATGCGATTTTCGTCTCCATCACCGTTTCCCAAGTCTTGTCTGCGCGTCATATGAGCCCAGAGTTGCACCGATGTTCGCTACTCCTGTTCACTTTGATGTTCACTATCCAGCCAGGCAGCAGGCAACGTGACTGCAACGCACGAAGCCTTTAGCCCATCGCCTGCACCTAGGAAACCGGTCTGACCATGAGGTCATCACACCCTTGACGCCCGTCTGTGTCAGCCGGCGGGGGACGAGTGGGTCTGCCGGGCCGGGTGAGTCCGTTACACCCCTCACGCCGCTGCCGTGTGACCGCCAGGTAAAGGGCCGCCTACCAAATCTGGGGATGCGGTCGGAGCAGCTCGCGCAGGTGTCGCACGAGAACTGTGTCAGCCGGGAGACAGCTGACATCGACCTGACCGGCACCGTGGACACCGGCGACATCGTCGATGCCGCCAAGAAGGTCATCAGCTTGGGCGGCAGCGTCGCCAAGCTGTTCGAGGTGATCTCGATGCTGGGCTAAGCGCCGACGCAGAGAGGGGGTGGGGAGGTGCAGCGTCTTAGGCCCCGGCGACACGGGCAGGGTGCGGGGAAGTGCAGCGTCTTAGGCCCCGGCGACGCGGGCAGGGGGTGGGGAGGGGGGGAAGGGGGTGCAGCGTCTTAGGCCCCGGCGACACGGGCAGGGGGGAGGGGTGCAGCGTCTTAGGCCCCGGCGACACGGGCAGGGGGCGGGGAGGTGCACCGTCTTAGACCCCGGCGACACGGGCAGGGGGTGGGGAGGTGCAGCGTCTTAAGCCCCGCCGACACGGGGGGGGGGGAGGTGCGGCGTCTTAGGCCCCCGCCGGCCGCCTCAGGCCGCTCCCCGCCGACGAGGGGCGTTGTCCTGGCCTGGGGTTAGTCAGTTGAACGTCCTCAAGGAAACGCGTGGCGGTGACGGCGCAGCACCGGGGCTGTCGGGGCGTGCCGGCGACACCGCCGTGGTGGTGACGGCACAGCACCGGGGCTGTCGGGGCGTGCCGGCGACACCGCCGTGGTGGTGACGGCACAGCACCGGGGCTGTTGGGGCGTGCCGGCGACACCGCCGTGGTGGTGACGCCGCAGCACCGGGGCTGTCGGAGCGTGCCGGCGACACCGCCGTGCGGTGGGAAGGGCTTCCATGTCGCTCGGGCGGTGTCGTCGGCAGGGACTGCGCGAGTGAGCAGCTGATGCGGGTGATGCGGCATCGTCAGAGCGGACCTCCAGAGTCGTGAGTCTTGAGGAGGGACGTGATTCAGACACTGACCGGTGGTGACGTGCTGGGGTAGGCAAAGGGGATGATGATGTTGAAAGGTGCTGTACGAGGTTGGGTCGCATTTGTGTCGATGTGCAGCACAGTGGACGTACGTTAGACAGTAAAGAGACCAAAGACATCACCCACCAAAGGGGCACGAAAGAACACGGAGTGAAAGAGGCTTTCCTGGGGGAGGCTGGCTTTTGTCAATGAGCTGTAGCTCCATCACGTCATGCTGGGGAACCTGGCTTTTGCCAATGAATTGCTGCTTTGTCACATCATGCTGGGGAGGCCAGCTTTTGTCAATGAATGTCTAGCTTTGTCACGTGATGTTTGGGAGACTACATTTTGTCAATAAACTGTAGCTTTGTCATGTGATGCGCGACTTTAACCCCATGCGCTGTGGCTGTTGTTGTGCATGTTGAACCAGATGTAGCCGTATTTACGAAGGTAATAAAGGACACGTGCACTGGTTGTCCGCGGCGTACAGCGTGCTAACCAGAATCTGCTTATCTTTGTCGTTACACTTCGCTGAGAACGTAGAGATGAAAATTGTAAGTAAAATTAGCATATTTCACACCTTAATATTAATGGTGCGATGGGACTATAAATGGGAGTCGGCTAACTGTAGTCTGGATACTTCATATCAACTGGTACCTAGCACTGTGCCGTGCTTGCAGAACACACTCAAATAAACATGAACATGTGTCGTGTATTTCTTTGTAGACGAGCACCATCTTACAGGCCTTTACACGGTATTTATATCGGCAGACGCATCGACTTTCTTCGCTTTACTGGAAATCATTAAGCTCACTAGCCCGTGACTGTGCGCGAAATCACAACACCGACCGAGAACAGCATACCCGTGGTGGGAAGAAATCGCAGATGTTACTTATCGAACGGACGAAACGGCAGTGCTGTTAGTGCCAACGACGTCACGCTCTTCACCAGTGCGTTTACCAAATGTGCTGCAGCTACCTCTCTCCGGATCTAACTCGCACGGCACATGTGGTCGTACACACATCCGATGCAGAAACTGAAACGGAGGGTGCGGGTCACGTGATGCTTGGGGCCTGTCTGAGATGGGCAAAGCTTTAAAGTGTCATTCACAGACAAAGCTTGCTCTAATTCGCAAAGGAAAATAACCATACGTGTGGAAATAAGGAGGCCAATGCTTGGAAATTATTTGAAAAGGGAAACTAAGCCACCAAGGAGGCACATTTTCACAATCATTACTATCTTTTGTTCAGGAGTATTTTATTATGGAGCAGCATAAATCCTCAAAGATGGTCAATCAACGCAATCCGAAGCTGTCATGCTGTGAGCATGGAATGTGAGTTGCGGTTAGAAGTACGCAACGAAAGGCTTGTCGATCATTGGTCGAAGGATAAAGTTGGCATGCATAAAGTTCGTCAGGATAGTTAGGATAAGACCCAGGGGCCACCAAAATTGTAATATAAGACCTTCCTGAATCGTATAATTTGGATGCTAAATCTTTGGCCGGAGAAAATCATAGCGAACGAAATTGTGTGAAAACGAAACGAAAATGTTAGCGAAAATGTTCGTGCGCGCTGAAGTTCGTATGGCAAAATATCGTCCACGAATGTTCGTACGCAGATGCTCGTCACAGTTAAGTTCGTTTAGCGAATCACGCATGCGCAGCAGATCGCATCCAGATGACCATTAGAAGTTGGAATGCAGATTCCCCATCCTTGGTGCCTGGCGTCGGATAAATTGTCACTGGGGGGACCACCACATCCCGTCGACCGGGGAGGGGAGATGGGGGTTGGGGATGGCGGTGAGCAGAGTCCCTTGCATCGGTCACGTAAAATATTATAACTCGCCTAACTCTTCACAACGTGAACTCAAACTCCCTCTACGGCAGCACGTGAGCCCGAATAAATGGAAATAGTGCGGAATGACTCTCGATGGGCGGGACGGAAGGTAAAAGAAAACGTGTCCACCGCAGATCACCCGCGGTGTTTGCTATGTTTCCTTTTCATCCCTGATCCTGATGACGTCGACGACAGACCGGAGTTCAGATAAAAAGATACGACCACTACGCCCACTTTGATGCACCCGCTTTGATTCGAAATGTTGTTTGCCCCGAGCTCGGTGGAATATTGCCCCAGGCTATCACTTTCCAATTGTACGCCGCATAAAACTGGAAATTACACACTGTCACGCATGCCCTATATCATTCTGCAAAATCAGCTTTCAGCGAAGTCAGCTTTCAGCGAAGCATGAGATCTGATGGTGTGTGGTTCGGTACTCTGTGATTGATCTGCCCTTTACGCTACCCAAAGGAGTCCTGCCAAACTTGTTCTTGTATAAAAAACGGCTACGGACTTTTGAGTGCACATTTTCGGGACATAAACTTGATCCGTTAATAATCTTTGCCGACCTACAATTGCCTACGAATATTCCCGTACGTCCTCCATACAAAGGGCCCTTTTCCTTGCGGGCTTTTGTTCTCATAACTTTCATCAATACGAATATTTTTCATACGTACTTTACACCATGCAAATATTTGCTTATAAGCTTTTGCGTGCGAGCTTTTGCGTATGTACATACACTTGCCATACGAACTTTATACCGTAAATGCCTTTGCTCATACGCACAGTTACGTACGTATTCTAAGCATAGGTGCTTACTTTTCCTATACGAACTGTACGAAACCTTAAAATGTACAAAAAGTTGCATAAAAAACATTGAAGACGCAGATCACCAGGGATGGATGTGGACCTCCTATGAGCTCTAAACGCACCCCTGGCGTCTCTATCACCGCCCTTAAGCACTTACAAGTCCTCCTCGACCTTCTCAACGCCGTCCATTTCGGACCGCAGCATCGACTCGGGCGACAGTGGCGTCACTTCAGAAGACTGCAGCTTTGAGATGTGCCGAGAGGTGGCGTGCTGGGCCTCTGCAAAATCGACGAGACCTTTTCAGTTTAAATGATTCATTTGTACTTAAATAACACTACACCTTCGCACACTGACGCCGGAAATCAAAGACATGCTTTCTGACCATAGGAAGCAAACGGTGTCCTTCACATCTGCTGAAAAAGGAAGGGAGACCAGAGCGACCCCGTATGCTATGAGGTGCAGGGACGTACCTAACAACAACATCCGACCTAGAAGGACCTAAAAGCAACATCAGAAGCACGGACTTATCCGCCAAACATTCCTCACTCCTTACTCAATGCTTCTCACGAAGCATCATAACGCCTCATCTCATCGGGAGAATTGCTGACTCCAGCTACGAGCCAGATTATGTGCTGCTTTGGTGGGAGGCTAGAAGCCAAACCCCAGCGCCCCTTCCCCGCCAAAAAACGTCCCAGGCGGCCTCACCCCGACTTTTTTGGTCATCCAGTAAACCGAACGCAACGTTGTATTGTCTACATCGACCGGTGCGGTTCAATTGATTCAGGTTCAGAACTATTATTTTCGCAAGCAGACCGTGCACCGAAAATGGCTAGCTTCACGATGTATGGAATGACATGGTGCCTTGATCAGACGTTATTGGCGAGGATTCATGGCTTGTTTTTGATGGGTCCGAGAAAAATCCGACCTGGACGTCTCCAGAGAGGTGTGACAACCTCTATCTGACATTCTGAAAGGATGCCAATAAAAAGCACATTGCGAATTATTTGGCTTCACAGCCAATCTAACAGTAAATGACATATTCTAAGAACCCAACGCCCTAGTGCTGTGAGAGCGTGTCTTGATACTGTGATAGTACAAACTCTTACTGTGACACGTCAGATGGCTGCCTCCCTTTAGGTTTTCGCCACTTTGATCGATATCTTTTCCTGGAATTACTCTGTTCTTATGAAAGATACCATCCTTCGGAAGGCACTCGTCGACCAAA